CCCATCCCCTCCATCACTCCAGTGCAGTGGTCCCCTCCCCTCCAGCCCCACCATCCCTGCCACTTCCCCCCTCCCCAGCACAGCAGGGACCCCCGGGACCCCACAATCAGGACAACACCGAGTACCCCCGGGGAAGACATTCAAGGCAAAGCCAAGCGCCGATTTTGGAAGGGGGTGGGGGGGAGGACCCTGCAGCGACATTGCCGTGAGCTGCCGGATAAAGGAAGCATCCAAAATAGCTGCTCTTAATTATATCCTTGCTGACGAGTGCCACGCAAACAACGGGCGCTGCAAGCGCTCGCTGCACGAGGAGCCCTGGCACGAGGGGGGCTTAGTGCTCACGGCGAGGATGGGGTGACCCCGTGGGGACCCCACGGAGGTGGCCAGGAGGAGCCCTGGCTCGTTTGGGTGACGCTGGTAGCCGGTCCTGGCCGCTGTCAGGCAGCGAGAGGCATGTAGTCCTGCAGCCAAGGTCGTGTCAAGCGCTGAGGCCGACGAGATGTTCAGATGCTAATGAAGCCGTTATCATCTTCTGATCGATTTTGACTGTATAAATAATGCACCGGGAAGCTCACAGGCTGCTGGGTGCAGGGGAAGGGATTGCCTGGGGCAAAAAGGTGGCAGGGATGGGACAGACCCATTTTGCAGCTCAGTGCCCATCACAGCTGGAAAACAACTGCCTGCCGCAGCTGGACAACCTCGTGCCCATCACAGCTGGATCAAAAATGCCCAGCAGCTGGACACTCACTCCCCTCACAGCTGGACACCCCATCACCTAACACAGCTGGATACCACTGTGCCCATCACAGCTGGATCACAAATGCCCAGCACAGCTGGACACCCCATCACCCCCCACGGCTGGACACCCCCAGACAGGTGCCCCAGTGCCCACCACAAGCCATTCCCGAATCCCAGGGCGCTCCTGGAGGATGCTGGCCCCTTGCCCAGAGCACCTGCCGGGTCTCCGGCTGCCGGCCCTCGCCCAGAGCCTCCCCCGGGGAGTGGAGAAATCTGCTCTTCAAAATCAATAGGCTGTGGCAGCCTGAGTCACGGTGCTGCAGCAGCGCAGGGCCATCCCCTGGGGCCAGGATGAAGCAACTTAAATGCAGCTTTCAAGAGGCAGTGGGGACTCCTCTGTAATTTAAAAAAAAAAAAAAAACAGAAACACACCAACTTTTCGATCCCAAGGGAGGACGAGGGCCTGACCCTGCGGGCTTCCAGGAACAGGGGACACGAGCGTACCCAAAGCAGAGCCGACTCACTAAAAACCAGGGGTGCTCACCAGCACGAGCATCCCCGCTCTCCCTGAACCGCCAAGCCATATCCTTACGCGACCTTTGCCGCGTGGTGCCGTGGGGCCTGGCCGAGCCGCGCTGCATCAGCCGGATTCCCCCGAGGCAGCCCCAGCCCCAGTTTAGGGTTCAACCATGCAGCTCCCCAGCTCTGCAGACGCTCCCTCCCATCACAGGGTCATCACCTGCAAAGTCCCAGCAGCTTCCTGCGGGCTCCAGGCTGCCAGCAAACCCGCTGACCCCTGAATAACACACGGTGCCATGCGGAGGCTGCTGGTGCCACCGGGAATGCAGGAAAGTGGGCAGCAGGGACGGGCAGGGGTGCAGGCAGCGCAGCGCCACATCAGCTCTGGCCCCACCAGTGGGACAGGAGGTGCCGCGTTGGGCCCCGCCGGACCAGCACCAAGCATCGCACCAGCCGCGCCGCTGCGCCCGTCGTTGCCGGCCCGGTGCCAGCCGTACGCCCACCCTCGTCTCCTCGGAAATGCGTGTTGGTGCTGCTTCCATGGAGCCTTAATTGACAGCCTGTTCTCCCCGCGCCGGGGCGGCGGCAAACAGGTAATTTTCAGTAATCACCCTGGGCTGGAAGGAGTCACCGCCGACACGGCGAGGCTGCCGCGGCAGGGGACGAGACGCGGCTG